TGTGTGTGTGTGTGTGTGTGTGTGTGTGTGTGTGTGTGTGTGTGTGTGTGTCTTCCTTGCAGAGTGAAGAATGGAACTAGCACGAGTACATTATAGTTAGTGGGGGTTTCAGGCAGGGACTGCAGAGAGCTCCTCCTGCTGTCCCTCTGCTTGCATTGCTGCAGTCCCCAAGCTTCTTGCACCAGAGGAGATTGTGTGCCAGGGGCGGAGGGGAGGTAGTTTTAATACCTTGCTGCCTGATTTTTACTGCGCATGGGGTCTGCTGGGCAGGACATTCACGTCTGAAGGCTGGAGTTTGGTTATTAATGGAGAACTTCCCATTGAAGCCTAGGTTAGGCGTGTTAACATGAATCTGGCGCATCCAGAAGCACAGGAAATAACTCCCGCTGCGAGTGAGGTTGCATAACTCAACAGAGGCAGGAGATGCCTCTGTGCCTGAACTGCTTCAAAGGGAGGCGGAACCGTACTGAGTAGGCAGCTGTCACATTTGCCTTGGTAGAGGACACGTATGTATTCATCTCAAAAGATTTTTGCACCAAAACCTGAGGTTTCCCGTTGGAGCCTAGGGTCTGTCCGACGGAGGACTCAGGGCTCCCGGTTCGGCAAATTCTCTTTATCTAGAAAGCCGGCCTGCGTCCTGGGGGACCGAATCCCAAGCTCTCCGAGGTTTCTGAACATCTCCCCAGGCGTCGGTCTGACTGTGCGCAATGCTTTTCCCTCTCAGGTTTGTGCGCCCTGAGAATGAAGGTTGCTGCTCCAGCCACCTTGAGTAGGGTACGGTTCCAGAGGAAGAAGAAAGAGAACTTCCCGTGTGAGCACTCCTCTTCTCCCATCTGCTTAAGCTCTGGGACTGTTCATAGGAAGAGCAGGCACGCTAGTCGGTTAACATTTTCTGTATACACAGTAGTGCTTAATGTTTGAAGAATGAATGAAGGAGCAAAACCAGTCAGTGCCCCTGCCCCCAACCCCTTTAATTTCTGAGGTTTTTATGTAACTGGCTTCCTGCCTCAGCAGGTCCCAACTGAGAGCAAAGAAGGGGGACTGCCTGTTGGGAAAAGGTAAGGGAGGTCTGTAACAAAGGGATCTTTAACCTGGAACTCCCTGCCATACTCCTGCCTCAGCCTTGAGCACTAGGCTTACAAGTGTGGACCACCATGCCCGGTATAAACCTTTCAAGGCCTTTGGACTTGTCCCTGTGAAGACAACGGGGTTATTGATACAGGCCTATTTTTCCACTGCTACCTGTTAAGGCGACTCAGGCTTATAATCTCAGCTCTTAAGCAGATTCCTTAAACTCTGTTCATGTGTATAATGGGAGTAATAGCACCTACCTCAGAGCTGTGGTACTGATTGAGATAATTTACATAAAGTACATAGATTAAGAGTTCATAGTACGAACTCAGTAAATCTTAACTTACTGTTTTGTATAACATAATAAATTGCGTGGCAAAGTGGTGGCCGTTGCTCTGAAGGTTAAATGCAATGCATTCAGTATTGTGCATTCATTCAACAAATCACCATTGGTCATCATGTGTGCAAACCTCCGTGTTAGGTACATGACCTGGTCCTCAGTAAGCCACCAATTATGATCATTATCACAGTTACGATTAAATTGGTCTGGATGTGGTGGCACACACCTGTAGTTTGAGCACTTCTGGAGACTCAGGCAGGAAGACTGCAAATTCAAACCCAACTTGGGTGACTAAATGACAATGAGATCCTATCTGCCTATTTCAGAATACAAAATCAAGAAGTGCATTCCTGTAATCTCAGCTCTCTGGGAGACTGAGGCAGGAGAATGGAAGTTTTAACCAGCCTGGGAAATTTAGTGACTTAGTGAGACCTTGTCTCAAAAATAAAAAAGTTTTGAGGGGATGTAGCTCAGTGCCTGCCTGGCAAATGCAAGGTCCTGAGTTCAATCCCTGGTACAGGAAAAATTTTTTTTTAATAAATAAAGGCTGAAGATGTAGTGCAGTGCAGAGGCTCTGGGTTCAATCCCATCCACCACTATAAATAAACAAAAATGTTCATAAAACAACTGAGGATGTAGCTCAGTGTGAAGGTCCTATGCTCAAGCTCCATTACCTAAATAATTAAGTAAATAAATATAAAATAATAAAGTTGTAAAGCCATCTTTCCCTTTTGAAGATGTGCTTCTCTTTGTTTTATAGACAGTGCATAGGGAAGTCATCAGTACCAGCTTTGGGAGAAGATATGAAAAGTATCTTCAGGGCCAGGATTTGGCTCAGTGGTTCCACCACCTACCTCACAAGTGCAAGGTCCTGAGTTCGATCCCTGGTACCAAAAAAAAAAAAAAATGTATCTCCATTGTCATGTGCCAGCCTGTGTATGGCCACTTTTGTATGCATTGCTTATATGTAGGAACAAGATTGTTCTAAATCCCACAACCAAGACACAGTCACCAAAACATTCACACTACCTTTGGTGGTCCCCATGCCATGCCATTCTTAGGACACTTTTGTACCCTCCACCTTTTATTTTTGCCATATTGGATATTGGACCCAGGAACTTCACACTGACCTGCATCTTTGAGCCCTTTTTATTTTTTATTTTGAAACAAGGTCTTGCTCAGTTTCCTAAGTCTGGGTTTAAACTTTCACTTCTCCTGGCTCAGCCTCCCAGAGTGCACTTTTACACCCTTTTTAACAGTGCATTTCATTGCTTTTTTTCTCTTATCAAGTTGCTGACAGTCTTACCAGCTGTTTTCAAAATTGTCCTGGTCTGGGTGGAGCTCTGAGTCTTCAGCTGTGAAACAGTGTGATCCTATATTGATGCTAAGATCCTTGGAGTGTTTTAGTCTGCCCTAGCCGTTGCCCTGAACTCAAATGACTTTGCCACTTACCTCTCCAGGTGCCTGGATTTTCCAAGGTGTAAGAGAGGTAGCGACCAAAGACAAAGTGGGAGACCTTATTTGGATCTTGATTTGAACAAATATTTTAAAACACGAGACAATTAAATTTGAACACCAACTGAGGATTTGATGAGAATAAAAAAAATTTAAAGCATTCGTTTGTGATTTTGTTGTCATTGTCTTTCAGAGGTGTACACTGAAATATTTACAGGTGAAATAATATAATACCTGAGATTTAATTCAGAATAATCTAATGTGAGGGTTTTGAGGGAAAATGCATAGAGATACAAAGAAACGTGGCTGTAGATTAATGAATACATTTACAAATTTTTATATATTTGAAATTGTTATAATAATTTTTCCCAGTATATACGAGTATGTATTTAAAATGCTGATTCCTAGGCACTGACCCAGACATTGTGATCAATAAACCTGTACTGGGGTAAAAAAAAAAATCTGCTTTTTCAAAAGTATGCCAGGTACTTGGTCCTTTTTCAGTCTTTCCATCCCTTTTCCTCTTTCCAACATATCCCTAGCTAAAACTATCCCAACCAACATACCCCACACACACATAGTGTATAGTATTCCAAGATGTATTATAGTAAATATTGGTCAAAGCTAAAGATATCATCCAGCTAAGAAAGGTAGACTCAGCCAGCCTTGAAGATGGGACACACTAGACAGCAATCATGGTGTCACTTTAAAGTTCCAACTCTATTCACTTGGTTCTACAGTAAGAGCCAAGACTCAGCGGGGATCAGAACATTTGTACAGTAAGTCCCTGACTTACAAACATTCAAGTTGCAAACTTTTCACATATCTGAACGGACCTCAA